TTGTCTACCAATTCCAATTGTTTTGCCTTGCTCACTTTTTGTAAAACTCCCAAAGTCACTTTTTCCACCCCCAGAAAACACCGAGTAACTGAAAGAGCCATTACTACACAAACATGTCCTGCTTAAACCAACCAACTTCAACACCCAAAACAAAAGAAACTAACAACTACCACTCACTGCCTTTGAGCCCAACAACCTGAAACCCAAGTTGGAATTATAGAATTATCCCGACACAAGCCCCTAATTTGTTATGGACCAGGCCAGACTGCCTCAAAATATTTTAAGAAGGTAGCCTAGACTGTAACTTCTTCTTATTTTAAAGGTAAATGTGAAAGGGGTGATGCAACTGGTCAAACCAGTCGACATTAAGCAAAACACAATGTATTTAAACACTATAGTTAAAACACAAACAAAAGAAAGCAGTATTTAGAATAACAACTATTGGAAACATAACCAAATAATAGATACTGGACCTATTACTAATTAACTGTTCCAATATAGTAAAATCCCATAAACACACCCCTTAGCAGAAGGGTAAATTCAGACACAGATTCTTACAGGCAGGTTTCCAATCCAGGAGGAAATGCCATCAAGAGAGATTTCAGAGAAAGTCCCAGTTAGGAATCATTTACTGAAGCTTGCAACCTTTCTTGGACCCCCAACGGCTTCCAACTGCCAGAGCTATAAACTAGAAAGCCTGAATAAAAACTGAAAGATCTGCAGATGCTGCAAATCAGGAACAAAAACACAAGTTGCTGGAAAACCCAGCAGGTCTGACAGCATCTGTGAAGAAAATATCAGAGTTAACGTTTCAGGTCCTATGACCCTTCCTTAGAATGGAGGAAGGGTCAACGGACCTGAAGCGTTAACTCTGATTTTTTCTTCACAGATGCTGCCAGACCTGCTGAGTTTTTCCAGCAACTTCTGTTTTTGAACTAGCAAGCCTGACCTGGGAGAACTGGCCACTCTCCTTTCATTGTTAAACTGTTTTAATAAAAACCCTAATGGCCTCTTAACCTGGACATTTTGGAACCTCCACCTTTACAGCCTCTCCAAAAAAAACCCAGGACACAACTAGACTCTTTTAGTGTTGGAGTCCTCACTGATATTTAATTATTTTTGTTTTATTCTTTTATCAATTTTGATTGGAACTGTGAACTGAGAACTGTGAGCTAAAGGTGTCTTTTGGACTGTGGGTAATTGTCTCAGAGACAGCTGGAAACTTTGATTAATAGGGGCACAGAGTACAAGAGCAAGGAGGTGATCTTGGAATAATGTGTACAGTTTGGATACCACATGGAAAGATGTGAGTCTATTGGAGAAGTTGCAGAAGAGATTTACAAGAATAGTCCCAGGAATGAGAAAACAAGGTGTAGAGCTGGATGAACACAGCAGGCCAAGCAGCATCAAGGAGCAGGAAAGCTGACGTTTCGGGCCTAGACCCTTTGTAGGAATGAGAAACTTCAGTTATGAGGACAGATTGAAGAAGTTGAGACTGTTCTTCTTGGAGACAAGAAGGTTGAGAGGAAATTTGACAGAGGTTTTCAAAATCATCAATGTGCTGGAAAGACTAGATAAGGAAAAACTGTTTCTGCTCATTAAGGAAGAAAAGGCAAGAAAGCAAAGCTTTAAAGTGATGTGCAATTGAAGCAACAGTCATGTGAGAAAAAACATTTTCACTCAGTGAATAGTCAGGGTATGGAATGCACTACTTGGAAATGTTATTGAGGCAGATTCAATTGAGGAATTCAAGAGGTCATTGGATATTTATTTCGAGAGAAAATGTGCAGGATAATGGGGAAAAAGTGGGAGATTGGTTCTAAGTCATATAACTGGTGCACACACAATGAGCTGAATGGCCACCTTGTGTGTCATATCAATTCTGTGATATCAATGCAGTAGACAGTTGCACGAAAATCAGCACATGGAATTCAACCTGGAGAAGTGTGAGGTGATACATTGGGGAGGGTAAACCAGGCAAAGGAATATGCAATTAGTGGGAGAATACTAAGAGGTGTTTAAAGTTCTTGCAAAGATACTAAGAGGTATAGAGGAAGTGAAAGACTTAGGCATGAATATCCATAGATCCCTGAAATTAGCTGGACAGTTCAATAAGATTATGAAAAAGGCAAATGGAATCCTTAATTTAATTAACCGAGGTATGGAATATGAAAGTAAGAAAGTTGCACTGCAACTGTACAAAACCCTAAGTTAGGTCATAACTTTAGTATTGTCTGCAATTCTTGCCATCTCATTACACAACAAATGTAATTGCACTGCGGAGGGACATAGGAAATTTATGAGGATATTGCCAGGACTTAGAAGATTATAGCTATGAGGAAAGATTGGATTGGATTTGATTGAGGCATATAAAATTGTGAGGAGCATGGATGGGTTTGAAGGGGTTGATACTTGATTGATTGAGTACAATAAGCACCACCCGAGGCAATGATGTCATGGGGACTCTATCAGAGTAAAGAAGGAGACTGTAGGAGACAGACCTGGGACTAGTTCTATCCTAATAGTCTTCTGTGATAACGTAGGTCATATTCATGTAATCTCCAAGTACTTACAGTAATGAAATAAACTTCATATTGTTTCCTCAACTAGACTGTTTTAGTGTTGGAGTCCTCACTGATATTTAATTATTTTTGTTTTATTCTTTTATCAATTTTGATTGGAACTGTGAACTGGGAACTGTGAGCTAAAGGTGTCTTTTGGACTGTGGGTAACATCTTGTGTCAAAAAGAAAACAAGCAGGCATAAACATTAAACGAAAAACACCAAAGAACTGAGGATGCTGGAAATCAGAAACAAAAACAGAAATTGCTGGAATACCTCAACAGGTCTGGCAGCATCTATGGAGAGAAGGCAGAGTTAAATTTCAGGTTCAGTGACTCTTCTTCAGATTTGATTGTAGCTTGGAAAAGGTTAGTATTTATGCTGAAGAGGTATTGGTGGGATTGGATGGGTTGGAGTAAATGAAAAGTGGAGATGGAGCCCAGAGAGAGAACAAGGGTTGGGCAGACAAATGAATGGGTAAAAGTCAGTCTGGGAGAATCCATAGCTTCTAATGGGGGCCATTGTAGCTGACAATGAGTTAGTTGTGGTAGCAGCCCATGTGAAGACAAGGGCCTGGTGTGTGAGGGTTGGGGTAGAGACATGAGAGAAGGTGCTCAGGCCCTAACTAATCACCTCGATCTATTCTCACTCTCACACACACACACACACACACACACACACCTACCTTTAACTACCTCCCTAAGGATTTGGGAAGGATCTGGGTCATGACTGGGAACCATGTAGCGGGAGAAGAATGCGCTGGTTGTGTGCTGCAGCAATGGCACATCAAGGGTGGGCCGGAGCAACAGTGGCGGATCAAGAGTGGACTGATGAGGCAAGATTGTGCTAGTGAAGCAGCAGCGGCGAGAGCAAGCTGGTGAGGCAGTGGCGGCGAGATCAGGCCAGTGAGGCAGCCCAGAACATTGACAGCAGCATGGCATGGGCTGGAAAGCCTGGAGCGGGACTCTGGGGGAGGCATGGCAAGGGCTGGAAAGCCTGGAGTGGGACTGCGGCAGTGGAAAGGAAAGTTGGACTCTCTTAAGTTATCTTTTTTCTCTTGTTCTAAGTTAATGTGAATGGTGCCATGTATGTACGGCAAAGGTACACACTTTTCACTGTATTTTTACATTGAATACACGTGACAGTAAGTGATTCAATCAATGAAGGCTGCAGAATCCCCAAGCAGAAAATGAGATGATGTTATTCCAGCTTGTGCTGAACTTCGCTGGAGCATTACAGCAAGCCCAAGACAGAGATGTTGGTCAGGGAGCACAAAGGTGTGTTGAAGTGGCAGGCAACAGGAAGCTGGGGGGTCACTTCTGTGGGCAGAACATTGGTGTTCCGCAAAGCAGTCACCTATGCTGTGTTTCGTCTCCCCATTGTAGAGGAGACCACATTGTGAGCAGCGAATACAGTAGACTGGATTGTCTGAAGTGCAGGTAAATCACTGCTTCACTTGTAGGTGTGTATGGGCTTGGGTAGTGAGGAAGGAGGAAGTAAACAGGTGGATTTTACACTTTCTGTGATTGTATGGAAAGTATCGTGGGGTGTTAGTCAGTGAAATCGGAGTAGAAGAGAAAGAAAGGAAGTCCAATGCACAGTTAACGTACATGCATGTAAATACATGGAGTACAGTAAATCAGGAGTTAAAATACAGCTTGCAATGTGGATTTATGTTGTTGTGGCGGTGATAGAGACCTGGATCAAGGAAGGACAAGACCGTGTGTTAAATATTCCTGGGTATGAGTTGTTGTTTAATTTTGGTCTGGCAAAGTTACTGTATTGTTAATAAATTGCAAAAACTACTGTCCTGGTGTGGAGGGTTGATTATTTGCAAAACCTGGAATTGTTGTGCAAAGGTTTGTTAGGAACCATTGGGGTCAATTTTGAGGGTTTTTGAAGGTGTAATTTTACTATGTTGCCAGTACAGAGGTACTGTCAGTCTCCATGTCATAACTGCCGAAATCCATTCCTTCGTTTCATCGAGATTTCACAATTCCAACACACTCCTGGCTGGCTTCCGATCTTTGACCCCCCACACCCTCCCTAAACTCCAAGTTCCTCCAAAACCCTGCTGCCCATATTTTATCTCATATATACCAAGTCCTTTTCACCCAACATTCCTATGCTCATTGACCTATCTTGGCTTTTGGTTACCCTGATTTTAAACACTCTGTGGCTGGTGGATGAGGAAATCTGCCATTTAACTTCTCAAACTCTCCTTTAAGATGCTTCTTAAAGCTAACTGTTTGACCTTACTATGGGTTATGCACCCTCTTATATGGCTGTTGATGATAACTCTTGTGAAGCACTTTGGCATGTTTTACTATGTTTGCAAAGCTATACAAGTTATTGTTGAAATGGTACAGTGGAAATTACCACTTTGACATCAAATTTGAAGATTTGTCATTCATTTGTTGATCTATCTTTCTCTGCAGCTTTACTTCATCCTGGAGACAAACTGAAAATGGAGCCAGATTTGAAATTAAGGGCTCCTGGGACAGGCTTGTTACCTAACCGTGAAGTGCAAAAATGGGTTTCCATCAGGTAAAGAGGAGAGCCATACTCTGCAACTGTGGCACTGCAAGCAATTTGAGCAAATCTGGTTTGTATCTGTTAAGATAGAGTTGGAGTTGGAGTAGATCATTCATCTGTTGAGCCTACATAGCCAATCAATATGATCATGGCTTCAACTGTAGTTTCCTGTCTACTCCCTATATCCCTGAATTTCTTGAGAGACCAAAATCTATTTATCCTGGCCTTAAATATATTCAGTCATTGAGGATCCACAACTTTCTGGGGTAGTGAATTCGAAAGATTCACAAATTTAGTGAAGAAATTTCTCCTCATCTCGGTCCTAAAGTCCTCTAGTTCCTTTTCCCCATTTTCAAGATTCCCCACCCAGGAAAATAATCTTGTACATTTCAGTGGCATCATCTCTTGTCCTCTTGAACTCCAGAGAATATGGACTTAATTCACTCAGTCTCCTCTTCATGGACAACCCTGTACTATAGGGAAAATGTAATCAAAAGAACTGCTCCCCTTAGCTGATGACTTTAGGATGTCTTTCTGTATTAACTATGCTACATAAATGAAAACTTATAAATTAAGAAATCTGACAAAGGACAGAGAAAGGAAAGAGCAAAAAATTAAAATAAACACAGTGAAAACTGGGAAATAAACAGAATTATGAACCTGAAATGAAAGGAAAGCTGAAAATCAATGTTAATTCTGTTTCTGTCTTTACAGGTATTGCCAGACCTGCTGTGTTTTTTTTGTTAGTTGAAGGGATGTTGATATAGCAGGTTGGACCAGCATTTGTTGCCCATCCCTAACTGCCCTTGAACTGATTGGCTGAGTCAACCATTTCAGAAGGCAGTCATGAAACAACCACATTGTTGTGGATCGGGAGTCAAATGTGGGCCATAGTGAGTAAGGATGACACATTTGCAGATTTCCTTTCCTAAAGGATGTCTGTGAACCAAATGGGTTTTAATAAGAATCAACAATGGTTACATTGCTGTCATTATACCAGACTTTGATTCTAAATTGGGTGGGACTTGAACATTAGTGTTTGACTCTGGATTAAAAGTCCAGTAACATTCCTATTTTTCCACCACCTTCCCTTTTCCAACATTTTCTGTTTTCATTTCAGATTCTGCCATCTGCAGTATTTTACTTTTGTTTAGTGAATCTAGAAGCTTGGACTCACCACAAGAGCTAAAGAATTTCAATTTCATTCATTAAATAAGCCTGGATTGAAATGTAGTATCTATAATGACCGTGGCACAATGAATTTCTGTTAAAAACAACAATTTGGTCTATTAATTTCCTTTTAGGGAAAGAAATCTGCCATCCTTACCCAGTGTTGTCTACTGCAGGCACACAGCAATGTGGTTAGACTTAGAGTCATAGAGACCTACCTTCAGAGAAAGGCCCTTCGGCCCATAGAGTCTGCAGAGGTCAAAAACAACCACTTTACAATTCTAATTCAATTTTCCAGCACTTGGCTCATAGTCTAAATGCCATAAGCATTGCAAGTGTACCTAAATGCTTTTTAAATGTTTTGAGGGTATCTGCCTCTATCACCCTTGCAGGCAGTGAGTTCCAGTTTCTCACCACCTTCTGGGTGAAAAAAGTTTTTGGTTCACCATTATCATTTTTAATGGCCTGGAATGTCATGCAGTGGTACCAAACACCTAATAATATTTTTGAAAAAGGACCAATACACTCAGTTTCAATCAAATCTTTTCATTCAGATGCAACAAAAAGCAGACACAGCTGACGCTGCAAAATCCTCTTCTCTTTTGTTTGAGAATAGTACAAAGATGTTAAATCATGAACTGAACCTGGCATACAGAATGATATGTTTCAGCTACATCCCAGACTCCTCTATCGCCATGCTGGGTATGTTTTTCCCCAACAGCAGTGGCAAACAAATCAGCAAGATTTGCCATGGGATTACACAACATTGACTCTGAACCTCATGACGCCTCATTGTATGAGATTAAATACTGGCCGGCAGGCCTGCTGATTAGCACCTATCGTCCTCCTTCAGTGCTCCTTCATGTTCAGCACAACCTGGAAGAAACAATGAGGGCTGTTTAATCAACAAATATCAAGGTCTTGAATTAGGCATCAAAACATTTTCAGAGGCTTACCAGCATTTTATTGTATATCTGTAGATTTATACAAAAACCAGATTCCATCCTCCCCTTCTAGATCTTTTCCTTATCCACAAATCAACTACCCTCTGGACAATTACCCAGCTTTTGTTTGTAATCAACCTGTTCAAACATGTTATGACACATCTGAAGCAGGTGGGATTTGAACTGGGATCTTGTGGTCTATAGGAAGGGATACTGCCAGTGTGCCACATGACATTCAAGAACACACCTCTCATCTTCTAAAACAAAATCCTAAACACCAATTCAAGAAATTAGCTAATTAACAAGTTTGAAATACTGCTGGGCAATGCAACAAAATGAGGGCACTAAATTAAGGTTAGTTGGAAAAATAATGCTGTCATACACCATGGAAACTGACCCTTCGGTCCAACTGGCCCACGTCGAACATGTTCCCAAAATAAACTAGTCCCACCTGCCTGTGTTTGGCTTATATCCCTCTAAACCTTTCCTATTCAAGTACTTATCAAATGTCTTCTACATGTTGTAACTGTACCTTCATCCACCACATCCTCTGGCAGTTCATTTCCTCTATGTGGGCACAATACTTCAAGACCACCGGAGGAACACCACATACTCCCTCTCCAAAGATACCCAGGCACAGATGTAATCGCAGAACAGAGGCAGGGTAACTGGAAATGATAACCTGCTCCATGGCCTGCTGCCCAATGTGTACTTTAGCCAGATCCAGAAACAGGCCCATGGTGAAGCCACACCCATCTTGCACTGGGTGCACAAAGATCAGGAGCATGAGGCTGAAGTGCAGCTAAGACCACAATAGATTCTTTAGATTACTAAAAAGTGAGTGAAACATCCCACACCATAAGTAAACGTGACCCACGGACTCCACAGCTCCACAAACCAGACTGTTAGCAAACGAGTTACAGGTCCCTCTGTTGCCCCTCCTCTCTTTGTATGCCTCCTCCAGGGCTGGGTCCATGTCAGACTGACCACAAAGTGACTCCAGGCTGACCACCATCGTCTCCAACTCCATGAACCTGGATTTCTGCCTGTTTGTCACACCACCCCCACCCCGGTGTGTGGATTTTTGAATAGTAGTATTGCTGGACTTTTCACCTTGCAGGCATTATATTCCTAATTATGGTCACTTCCAGCCTCCTTAGGAACCATTATATTTTGTAAACCATAAGATTCACAAGTTTCTATTGAGAACTTTAGAAAGACGCTGCCTGCCGAGTAGCGTAGAAAAGTCTTTGACTAATCTTCTTCTCAATATCCTAGACGGCTCATTGCTTTGAATCAACTTAATCGTCAATTAGCCGGACAGAAAGGGGATATCCAGAGGGAGTCAAAGCTGGAAAACAGCCTGAAGGATGTCAGTCAAGAGAAAAAGCTGTGGTAAGTATGACTTGTTTCTTTCCCCATCTGCTGCAGCACAACCTCCTCCATATTTCAAAATTCACTCTGGGAAGTTGCTAACTCTTGCTGGATTCCATTTCACGTGTCAATACATTGAAGATGAGCTGGCCAACCTCAGTTCTCCATTACTTATCCATGTCATCCTGCCCTGCTGAGTTTTGAATATTCCACCTCACTGAGGACTGGGAGGGAATTTTCCTGGTACTCCTCATTCCTTCTTCAAGCAATGCCATTACAAATAGATTAACAATTTATCTATCTCTATTTTCTTTGTGGGGATTTTGCTGTTCAAAAACTGATTGGCACAAATAAGATAATATTTAACTGGACATGAAGAGTACGGAGGTATTTCTAAGAGGTGGGATAAGATGTTCTGAGAATGCTGAACTGTTTCTTTATGATTATTATTTGGCAATGGACTTCCCCTCAGATGTACCCAATCCTGCCTCATGTTATTGAATAGATCAGTTACACAGCAGCCACACTGAAATTCATGCCAGAGTTTCAGCCATCCTATCAGCTGACAGCCTGACTGCTCTCAAACAGTCCTGATTCCTAGTAGATCTCTTGAGAATCAAGATGTTATCTGCTTTAAAGCAAGACACCTGGTATATTCCAATCAAGCCAGCTCATTTATCCACCAAGACTGAGGCTGGGAGCCCTACTCTAGATGTGAACCAGCGGGTGAGCAGGCATGTATGTGGGAGACCTGATTGAGCTGTGAACTCAGGGTGTGCACAGGTGTGAGTCCTGCTGTGGACATCAAACCACAGATATGTATGAGTGAGAGTTTGCGGTATGCTGTGAATCAGGAAGTTTGCATGGGTGTGGAAGTAAACAATTGGTTGTGGGAAGTTGCAAAATTGGAAAGTTATTTTTGCCACTGTATCCTTTGAGAAGGATGGAATACTGAAAGAATGAAATTTTAAACCTGTAATTTAATGCCAGTTGTGGGGAAGATCCTGGAATCTGTTATTGGGGACAGAGTGGATGTGCATTTGAACAAATGTGAGTTCATCTGAGGGAACCAGTATAGATTCGCAAAGGGCAAGTGAGGTCCCAAAAAACAAGCTGAACTTTTTAAAGAGGCCCAGGGTAGTAGATATGGGAATCTTTAGATGTTATTTGAATAGATTTTTTAAAGCCATTTTGAGAATTCTGAGCATAACAATAGTTTTGAGAGTTGGAACTTTAAACATGCCAGGGTTCCGTCCTCTCTCTTTTAGCTTTTGCTGCTTCTACTTAACAGAGTTTATGCAGTCGGTCTCTGACTGCATGCGGTTTGGGGTGTGAGATGTTGTCCATATCATTATATAAGATATGATTATCAGCAATATCCTCACTAAATTTGTTCCTTTGTCAATGATTCTTTCAGAGTGTCCTTCCTTTTCTCTGTCTTCCTTGAGATCAGCTATCTATCCTTAAGTTGTGACAAAAGGCTGATGACTTGGCATGTGGATGTGATGATTTGATTTCAGCAGAGTTGATTTCACATGATCATGGTTACAATACTGAAGAAAATAGCTTCAATGAAGAAGCTAGAATTTGTTCACCAGAATTCCCACATGACTTTGAGTTTAGAAAGGATGTGAAGGCATTGGAGAGGACACAGAAATTATTTATTCTGTTTCTGGTTCTGTTGTATAAAACAGTAAGTATCTGAAAGGGTTACCTGACATCATATCCAATACTGGTGCCAGTGATGTGGAAATTCAGTTATGAACATACATTGGAGAATTTAAAACTGTTATCCTTGGAGAAAAGAAGGCTGATAGGAGATCTGATTGAGGATGGAGTAGATAGGGAGAAACTGTTCAACGTGTGCTAAAATCAAGAACAGAGGGCAGATTTAAAACAAATAGCAAAGAAGCAAGAACAATACAAGATTAAACTTTTTCTCACAGTGAATAGTTAAGATCTGGAATGCACTGCCTACACTGCAGGTAGGTTCATTTGAGGTTTTCAGACAAACATATGAAATATGAGCAAAAGTTAACAATCCAGTCCTTTGGGCCTTCTTCACCATTCAACGATATTATGGCTGATTTGTTTGTGTTCTGCATTAAACATTCCCATACCCCGTTAATGATTTTACTCCAAAACACTTTTATCTGACACTTTTACTTCAGTTAGCCATATTCCATAAAACTCATCACCATTGATTACTAGCCTGTTTGTACAATAATTCAAACCCCAATTAACTCTTAACTATTATATCCACCATCTATTCCCTCATTCCTTAGGTTGCAGGCATTCCTTCAGGTCATATTAGATTTTAACATTTTATTTTTACATAACTCAATATTTAATTTTACAAAACATGCAAAATTACAACAGATTATATTCGCTTTTTTTGTTTGCACATTAATATTCCAAACATTCTTTTTCATGTTTCTTAAATTTTGCTGCTTTTGTTGTAACACAATCAGCTAATTGCTGCTAAACACCCATTTTAACTTGGAGATCTCTCCATCTTCCATCATCTGTTTTAAAACTGCAATATTGATTCTCAATCATTTTTCATTCACACATTTTTTTGAGTGTCCATTATCCTATAGATGCTTATTATCAATATAGCACTAAATGAGTTTTGCTACTGAATCCCTTTTTAGATTTTTTTCCAATATTTTCATGAAGAAAACTTCAATATTGACTACTGCACCGAGAGTGAGAGTCTCCACTCTTCTGGAACTCCCAAGCTAAAGGCAACATTTAATTGTCTTTCTCACAAGCAATGCTCTAAACCCTCCTGCACTCGAGAAACCATCATAGTGAAGGGTCTAGGCCCAAAATGTCAGCCTTTCTGCTCCTATGATGCTGCTTGGCCTGCTGTGTTCATCTAGCTCCACATCATAGAGGCTGTACGTTTTAAGTTATTCATTTGTGGGATGTGAGTGTCACTGCCTGGCCAGCATTTATTGCCTATCCCCAGTTGCCCTTGAGAAGGTGGTGGCGAGCTGCACAAGAAGTATCACTAAAAGCAACAAGCTTCAGGTTCCAGTGAGGGAAATTCCAAAACACGATGCTCCATTTTAATTTTTTTTCAATGTTTTGTTTCCCTGAATAATATCTTCCACCTTAGGATTTTTCGTAGTTATACTCAACCATAATACTTCAAAACTGGCACCTGACCTTTGGATACCCAGCCAAGACAGCTGCCCAACTGGACTTCACAACTCCCCCACCTCAGTTATGGAAGCTAATGCATCTTTTTCTGAGAGCCTAATTTGACTAGCAATGGGGCTAACATTTTCCAAAGAAGATACAAATTGACACATGAGCAATTCTGCCTGAAAAGCGCGGAAGTGAATTCTGTTTTTAGCCCATTTATGGCGATAGTTTCAAATTTAATGCTCCCACGCTCCAAAAAATAATCTACGTCATAAAATTTGTTTAAATCTGTCCCGCCTCATGGTGCCAGTAAAACATGCTGATAATGACTCAATTTTAATAAGACTGACCTTATCGAAAAGTACCAGACATTGGAGGCATCATTTAAGCCATATATGCATTTATTTAACTTTCAGAATGTCCCCATTGCATTTGGTGCTTTTTCAGGAAGTTGAACAACACTGCTGTCTTAAGCTGATTCCCTGCAGAAAACCAATTTTAATACCAACTGACCTGAGGCATTTGTGGCGAACAAAGCCAAAAAATGTTCAAAATTATTTTTCCTACCATTGGTGATTATACCCTTGTATCTTGATTTCCAACTTTTTCTTCAAGCCCTCACACCATTCCTGTAATAAGGGCCAGATGTTCTGGTGACTTAATCTCACTCAAATTGCCACACACTTTTGTTTTAACGAGAAAAAGAAGCTCGCATTTCTCAAAGAGTATTCTGCTCAGGTCACCCTCTGAAAAGCAAAGGCGTACTTCTATTCTGATGATGTCAGGGCCTGTGGGTATAAGGGAGTTGTGGGTGAGCTATGGGATCAATTTAATAATTACTCAGGTGTTTGCCTATGTATTTAATCTTACTTAATTTCATCATAACCATCTGAAGCCTCCAATGTTTTTATGGAAATGTTTGCAGTGTTCTGGGTGTAAAGGAATTGCCCAGCAGAAAATTAAATTTCCTGGGTAATTCCTTCAGGAGGGAAGGAATCCCGCAATTGAGGAGATTCCACAGGGTTCCCATGCGCTTTGCCGATCTAACTCCGCATAGCAACTGCCCAGCCAGGGGAAACCTTGTTAAATTACACCCTCTACGTTGCCATCTATCTCTTTCTGGACTGCTACTGTGTAACCTACTCACAGGATTTCTTTGAATGGTTTGAGATCTCTTAGGGCATGTTCATTCCCAGACCCACTGTTTGAGATTACACTGTTTTCTTGCCTTCCATGTTTGTACTTAATGTTCCCAATCCATGACTCCAACCTCCTGTTTTATATTTTCCAGCGTCCTTCCCTGCTGGATTTATAATAGCCACATCTATCTACTGATTTGCCTTTCTCATAAGCATTTGACTTTGCTAACCACTTTTGGCAGTTATCCTTTGAGACCTCATAGGTTCAAATCATAGAATCCCCGCAATGTAGAAGCAGGCCATTTGGCCCATTAAGTCAACACCAACCCTTTGAAGAGCATCCCAACCAGACCCAGCACCCTACCCTATCCTATCCCTGTAACCTTACATTTCCCACGGCTAATCCACCTAGCCTGCACAGCCCTGTACACTATGGGACAATTTAGCATGGCCAGTCCACCTAACCTGCATCTATTTGGACTGTGGGAAGAAATCAGAGCACCTGCAGGAAGCCCACGGGGAGAATGTGCAAACTCCACACAGACAGTCACTCGTGGGTGGAAACAAAACCCCAGTCCCTGGTGCTGTGAGGCAGCAGTGCTAACCTCATGTTGAACATCAGAACTGATCTGTTCATTATCAGACAAAATGTCAATTGCAACAGTTTGATATTTACAGCTGTGAAATTTAGGTATTGAGAAGTACCTGGCTCCTCACAATTTTCTATAACTCCTGCAGAATCTGCAAATTTGTAATCCACACATGAAAAGTGTACCTGAACAGTTTGATTGCAACAAATTCAAAGAATGTGCAGTCCACACAAGTGTAGACAATAATTTACTGTTTGGCTGGTCTGTCCAAATTTTATGCACCATCTCATTAATTACTGCATGGTTCATTTCACATATCCCATTGCCAAAAGGGCTTTCTGCTGCCAGACTCATAACAATTCTATTCATATTCACACACACACACATCACTGAATTCATCGCTCACAAACACCCAGCATTCCCCATTAGCAGTTAAAAATTTAGCTGGTGGTCCCTATCCATGTTTTCAATTATCACATCCACAATTATCTTCTTATTGTTTTTCCATCTATTAATAATGACTGACAAAATCTGCAAAATGGAAAATGAACATTTTTCTTTATCCCTTTAAATCCACAGTAACTATTCATTGACAAGTCTTGCTAAAGCCAGACTTAATATCATCCATAACAGTGTTCATAGAATCCCTACAGTGTGGGAGTAAGCCCTTCAGCCCAACAAGTCCACATTGACCCTCAAAACATCCCACTCAGACCCATTCCCCCTATAACCCAGCTAATCTACACATCCCTGAACACTATGGGCAATTTAGCATGGCCAATCTACCTAGCCTGCACATCTTTGGACTGTGGGAGGAAATCCACACAGACACAGGTAGAATGTGCAAACTCCAAACACACAATTGCTTAAGGGTGGAATTGAATCCAGGTTCCTGGCACTGTGAGGCAGCAGTGCTAACCACTGAGCCACTGTGCTGCAATGTGTTGTTCTCACATTGATCATTTACCTCTTCTGTGAGCTTATTGTACTCCTCATCCCTTATCCCTGTGACCTTTGCTAAAAGTTTTAATATTTTAGAAGATGATGAGCAAACATGCTATGTAATTTTAACACAAATGACATTTTTGTATTATAAATGTCTACCGTCAGATGTCAATAGTATCTTCTTTAATGGAGAGGGTATGTTCCATTAAAGGAATACGATATGTCTTGATTATGCAAATTAAAAATTTACAGATGTTTTTTCATGCAAGATGTTTGTGGTTTTCCATATCCAGTTTCATTTGTGCTTTCTTCACCAATGGTCCACTTAAAACAAAGATACAAAGAACACTACAACACAGGAACAGACCCTTCGGCTCAACAAGACAGGGCCAACACCTGATGTCTTTCTAAACTAAAAACCTTTTGCCTGTATGTGGTCAAATGCTCAGAAATTCTCAAATTCTTAAAGCACTGCATTCTTTATTTATACTACTGCGATATCCCAGTTGATATTTCAATAATTTAATATTCTGCTCAGTTCTTCACTGCCACACGTCTGGACAGACTCCTGCACCAAGACACACTGCTCCCCGGCTGGGGCTGTCCTCAAGACAGACTTATACTCAAGGTAGAAAGCTGATTATTATTATCGGAGAAAATCAGTTTCTGCAAAACCTCATTCTCTACCTCAGTGGGTACACGATTGGCCACACCAACCCATTTGAACCTGTATTTCTCCCAGATTTCGACTGTGTAATCTGTACACCACCTCTTGTTATGCATCACTATGTCTCCAACTCTTATTCTTGCTCAATAACTCTAGAGAGCAGACAACCAAATGCAGATGTGGTTGCTTGGCCCTATATCACTGTCTAACAACTCCCACATTGTATTCACCAATGTTTGGGAAAGATTGACCTTAGAACCTGACTGCCTACAATTCTGGGTGGGGAGCATCTGTTGCCTTGAGTTCTGCATTTGAAACATCAATCTTGGTCAAACTTCATTTTAGATAGTTACTTCTTAAATTTCTTTTTGTTTAACTGAAATATCACCCCAATCCCACAGGAATGGCAGCAGGAAAGAGAAGGGCGGCAGAACTCGTACATCCAGCAACAAGCAGCTAATCATGACATTCGATGATTATATGAACTTCAAAAGGTTAGATTTCTTGTGTAATATTGTCCAAATATTGTAGTCATCCCTCAGTGATTGCAAAGCGGTCTTACAAATTATTAGGGGCTCTCCTGGCAGCATTGACTGTGGTTTAATACAACTGCCAACGCAAGTGCTGCTATGAGGCTCCTGCAAGTTTTAATACACATGGCAATAATTGAGCTGCTGGGACATAACCTCCAAGCCCTGGTATCAGTTCTGGAATCACTGTGTGTGCTAACTTAAACAGTGAAATTTTGGAGTTGGTTTAGTGTGGTTCACCTCATCATCAGAACTTCAAATGCAAAAGGAGCTGATCAGTCCATAGATTCTAGAATGAAAATAGTAGTTAATGCTTTGGAGAATCGACATGCAGTCAGACCCAATGACACATGCTCAAATATGCATGCGCACACACACACACACGCATGCACCCCCAAAACAGGCGCATACACACCCCACAGACATGTATTCACCAACATACACATTGCACACACACCACACAACCACACACACACACCCAGACACACTTACTCATCCACACATACACCCCACACATACATTCCCACACATGCACAACCCACACACATCACACCCCTCACATAGACCAACACAAACATACCCACTCACACACAGCCCAAAATCCCTTACACACGTGCACCCCTCACATACACCTCTCGCAACCATACCCCACACATACAGCCCTCACACATCATCACAAAAGCACCGGCCACATACGCGCACATACACACACAACATGTGCAAACACCCCACAAACAATTCCCCCATACGTCACACATCAAGGAGACTTCCATCATCCCTGATGACTACTCCTGTGGGAAGCGCACCCAGCAGCAGCTCCTGGGAGACTGTGTTAGGGAGCTGGAGCTGGATGCACTCAGGATCATCCGAGATGCTGAGTGCATCATAGATAAGAGTTTCAATGAGGTGGTCACACCTAAGTGCAGGCAGAAAGGTGCTGGGTGACAACCAGGAAAGGCAAAGGGAATAGGCAGAGAGTGCAGGAATCCCCTGTGGCCATTCCCCTTAAAAACAAGTATACCATTTTGGATACTGTGGGGGATGGTGACCATTCAGGGGAAAGCAGCAATAGCCAGGTCAGTGGCACTATGACTGGCTCTGGGGTACAGCGGGAAAGGGTAAAGATAATAGGACCTTAGTGAAGGAAACTCGATAGTTAGAGGGACAGACAGGAGATTCTGCGGCTGCAGACAGGAATCCAAGATGGTGTGCTACTTCCCGGGTGCCAGAATCCAGGATATCTTGGATCGTCTGCAGAACATTTCTAAAGGGGGAGGGTGAGCAGCCAGAAGTCATTGTGCACATTGGCACAAATGACATAGGTAGAAATAGGGATGAGGTCCTGCGGAGTGCTACAAGGGAGAGTTTCAACTAGATTGGCAGGACAGTGGGCTCCTCAACAGCAGAGAGGCAAGTGCAGGCTGGAAGGTCATACCATAATCAGAGATACCAAATTGAAGAGATAGGTCAGGCTGGAATACAACAGGGAACAAGGAAAGCCTGTTAGATTAAATTGTATCTATTTCAATGCAAGAGGGCTGACAGGTAAGGCCGATGAACTCAGGGTGTGGATAAGTTCGTGGGGCTGGGATATTATAGCCAATAGAGAAACATAGCTAAGGGAGGGACAGGACTGGGAACTTAATGTGCCAGGGTACAAGTGCTTTAAGTGGAGGAAAGAGGGGAGGGGATTATCACAGCAGCAAGCAGAGATGAAACAACTGAGCGATCATCCAGTGAAGTTTGTGGGTGGAGCTAAGAAATAAGAAGGGGATGGTGACATTATTGGAATTGGGGTTGTATAGGCCCCCAAATAGTCAACGTGAGTTAGAGGAACAAATATGCAGGGAGATTGCGGAGACTTGCAGGAGATTTTAATTTTTCTAACAGACAGGGACTGCCATTGTTTTAAGAGCTCAGATGGGGTGGAATTTGCTAAGTGTGTTCAGGAAAGTTTCCTCAAGCAGTATATAGAGGGTCCTACTCGGAAAGGGGCAAAATTCGACTACTCTTGGGAAATAGGGCAGGACAGGTGACTGAGGTGACAGTGGGGTGCACTTTGGGACCAGTTGTATTAATTTTAAAGTAGTTGTGGAGAGGGATAAAACAGGTCCACAGGTTCCAGTTCTAAATAGGGGCAAGGCGAATTTTGATGGAATTAGACAGGAGCTTGCAGGGGTTGATTAGAGTAGATTGTTTGCAGGCAAAGGGACCTCTGGCAAGTGGGAGGCCTTTAAAAGTGTGATAGCTAGAGATCACGGTCTATATGTTCCTGTGAGGGTGAAGGGTCTGTCTGACAAGAGATATTGAGGCTTTGATCAGAAAAAAGAAGGAGGCATGGCTCAGGAACAGGCAGCTGCAATCAAGGGAACCCCTGGAGGTATATAGGGCATACAGGAGTTTACTGAAGAACGAAATCAGGAGAGTGAAAAGGTGCCATGAGATAGCTCCGATTGAGAAGATTAGGGTGAATCCAAAGAGATTCTTTAAGTATATTAAAGGAGAAAGAATAAGTAGACAGAGAATAGGACCCCTCAAGGACCAAAGTGGATACGTATGTGTGGAACCACAGGAGATGGGCAAGGTCCTCAATAAATATTTCTTCTTTGTTTACCATGGAGAAAGAGATGAAGACTTGGGAACTTGGGGATGTTAGCAGCAATATCTTGGGGACAGTCCATATCACAGTGGAGGAGGTGTTGGAAGTAATAGAATGTATGAAGGTGGATAAATCTCCTGGTCCTAACCAGATGTACCTAAGAACTCTGCAAGAGGCTAGAGAAGAAATTGCAGGTGCCCTGGCTGATATATTTGCATCAGTGTTAGCCACGGGTGAAGCCCAGAAAGACTGGATGGTAGCAAATGTTGTGCCCTTATTCAAGAATGGCTGCAAAGAAAAACCTGGGAATTATACACCAGCAAGCTTAACATCTGTGGTAGGGAAATGACTTGAGAAGATTTGGAGGGATAAGATGTACATACATTTGGAAAGACAATGTTTGATTAGGAGTAGTCAGCATGGCTTCATGTGTGGGAGATCATGCCTCACAAATTTGTTAGAGTTCTTTGATGAAGCAATCAGGAAGATTGATGAGGGCAGGGAGGTAGACATAGTCTATATAGATTTCAGTAAGGCCTTTGATAAGGTTCCACATGATAGGTTGCTCTGGAAGGTTAGATCACATGGAATCCAGGGAGAGCTGGCAAATTGGATACACAATTGGCTTGATGGTAGGAAGCAGAGGGTAATAGTGGAAGGATGCTTGTTGGACTGGAGGCCTGTGCCTTCGGGATCAGTGCTGGGCCCATTGCAGTTTGTTATCAATATCAATGATTTGGACGAGAATGTACAAGGCATGATTGGTAAGTTTGCAGATGACAGTAAAGTAGGCAGTATCGTGGACAGTGAGGAAGATTACCAGAAATTGCAACAGGATCTTGATCAGCTGGGGAAGTGGGCTGAGAAATGGCAAATGGAGCTTAATGTAGATAATTGTGAGGTGTTGCATTTTGGAAAGTCAAATCAGGGTAGGAGTTTCATGGTGAATGGTGGGGCCTTAAGAAGTGTAGTGGAATAGAGGGACCTTGGAGTTCAGGCGCACAGTTCTCTGAAAATGGAGTCACTGGTAGACAGGGCAAGGAAGGTGGCTTTTGGTACACTGACCTTCATCAGTCAGGGCATTGAGTATAGAAATTGGGAAGTTATCTTGCATTTGTACAGGATGTTGGTGAGGCTGCACTTGGAGTATTGTGTTCAGTTTTTGATCACATTGCTATCAGAACAATGTTATTAAACTAGAAAGAGTGCAGAATAAATTTACAAGGATGTTGCCAGGACTCAAGGGACTGAGTTATAGGGAGAGATTGGACAAGCTAGGACTTTTTTCTTTAGAGCGTAGGAGACTGAAGTGTATAGAAGTGTATAAGATCATGATAGGCATGGATAGGGTGAATGCACTCAGTCTTTTTCCCAGGGTTGGGGAATTGAGGACTAGAAGGCAACAGTTTAAGAGGGGAAAGAATACATGGAAACCTGAGGGGCAACTTTTTTGTACACAGAGGGTGGTATGCATCTGGAATGAGCTGCCACTGGAAGTGGTTGAGGCAAGTACGTTAACAACACTTAAAAGATGTTTGGACAAATACATGGATAGGAAGGGTTTAGAAGGATATGTGCCAAGTCCAAGAAAATGGGTTTAGCGTAGATGGACAATTTAGTCGGCATGGACCAGCTTGGGCCAAAGGGCCTGTCTCCATGCTGTAAGCCTCTATGATTCTATGATATGCACCCTGTCCAAAAAAATGACTCTCACGTACACACCACACACACACCACACGCACACATTCTGTTACAGTCCTTCAGGGAAGGAGATCTGCCATCCTCAGCTTGTCTGGCCCACGTGTGACTTCGGGCCCACAGCCAATGTGATCGATTCTCAACTGCCCTCTGAAAAGTCCTGGCAAGCCACTCAATTGTATCAGTTATTATGAAGTTTCAACAAAGAAATGAAGCCAGACGGACCACCTGGCATTTACTTAGGCATTGGAAAAGACAACAGTAGAAACAGCCCTGCTGATTCTGCAAATCCGTCCTTACTAACATCTGGGAGCTGTGCCAATATTTGGAGAGCTATCACAGAGTAGTCAAGCAACAGCCTGATATGTTCACGGAATCATACTTTACAGACCATGTCCCAGACACCACTAATCACCATCCCGTGATATGTCCTGTCCCATTGGCAGGACAGACCCAGCAGAGGTGGAGGCACAATAGTATATGTCAGGAGAAATTCTGGAAGTCCTGGGAGTCCTCAACATTGACTCCTGACCCCATAGAGTCTCATGACTTCAGATTAAACATGGGCAAGGAAACCTCCTCCTGATTATCATGTTCCATCCTCCAGTACTCCTCCAGTTAAACAACACTTGGAGGAAGCCCTGAGGCTGCCAATGGCACAAAATGT